CATGAAGGACCTTATTCTTGCTTCTAATTTCTAGTTTAGATGAAACTAGTTAATTAATTTAAGTTATTTTGTAATAAGTTATACAAGTTGTTGATTCAAAAATATGATTTTTGGTTCATAAGTTTTTAGGAGTAAAACAACACTTGTATAAATTGTAAAATAATTAATTGTAACTAGTGTAGTTGTATGTTAGAAGCTTATTAGTCGTATTTGAGTTTGGATAATCCTTATGCTATCTAGTTTCCAATATGTTGCATAAGTAGATAGATACATATTTCTTAATGTTGATTATGTTATATGATTTATCATCTTGCGTGGATGTTATGTTTATGGATGGTAGTGGACAACTATTCTCTTGCATGTTTTGTATTTATGTAATAAAGTTAGAAATGTAATAATTATTTACGACCTCTTCCCTCCCCGAGCATAGGCTACGCCTACGGGTTTAGGTACTTGCTCACCGATCATGGGCTATGCCTACGGGTATAGGCCCTTGTTCGGGTGTGGGGGGTTATGGTTGCTTAGTTTAGTTATTTCATTTATAGCTTTTGCTTTATATTTAATATAATATTATTACCCATCCTACGAGATGGTTTTTCCATTATAAATGGGGCTTGCACGTCCTATGTTTATATGATTGTAATAATACAGAGTTTGCAAGGGAGCAAGCACCGTAAGGAGTTACATATGGCTTGCTAAAATGTAATTAGTGTAGTTGCATTTTATTTTCTTTAGTTATACACTACCATTCTATATAAGTTTTACATTACATATAATGATATGTTGGTTGTGCCCCAATTGTAGATGTCAATACAATTGGGTATTATATTCTGTAAAGTTTATATCTCTATCTCACTAGAGAATAGTTTTTATTATAAAAACTCATTTTTAAACTTTGTGAGACATGACAATAAGAGTTTATTGACCATAGAGTGGTGAGACCGACATTAACATAGCGTTAGTGTGAAAGATAAATAAACCTAAAGCGGTTAAAAGAGATGTATTTAGAACGAACTTTTAACTAGTGTCTAGGAAAGTAATTATGAGATATAGCTCATGGGGGATGCCCAACTTAAGATTAGGGGTGATGCCCAATCTTTCGCGCTATAGTCTTAAAGAACGGTGGTTACTTAATTAAGGTCCGATGAATATTCCCGGTGAATATCTCGGAACCCTCACTACAACAAACAGGTCTTTTAGCGACCAATTTTTTGCGAGAAAATTATTTTCCTCAATAAATATCACTTTCGACGAGAAAAATATTGTTTCCTCGGTAAATATCAGTAGGTCTTCTATGAGGAATATATTTTCCTCACAATAGACCACCTTCTACGATGAAAATTTTAGTTCCTCACTAAAGATGAACATGATTTGGTCTCCTAACTAATTATTTTATTGGCGAGGAAATATAAAATTTTGGTGATGAACTTTTTCATCGTGAAATACACATTTAACGAGGAAATAATCATTTCATCACTGTTCTTTTGGCAGAAAATAGAGGAAAACCCGCCAAATATAACAATGACAAAGTATGATTTCCTCGCTGAAGATCCATAATCTGCGAAGAACCGTTTCCTCATCAAAAGAATCAATTAGCGAGGAAATAATAGTTTCCTCATATTATTAGTTTGGCGGGGGAAAAAACCCGCCAATTTTAATGGTGATAAATTTAAGGCTCCTCGCTAAAAGTTTTTGTTTTTACGAGGAACCGTTTCTTCGTTAAAAAGAACCTATTAGCGAGGAAATTATAGTTTCCTCACTATTAATTTGGTGGAAAAATTTGCAACACCCGCCAAATTCATTGACGTAAAATTAAAGGTTTCCTCGCTAAATTTTTTGTTTTACGAGGAACTGTTTCCTCGTTAAAAAAACCAATTAGCGAGGAAATAATAGTTTCCTAATTATTAGTTTAGCGGAAAAATGTGCAAAACCCGCCAATTTTAATAGCAACAAATTTAAGGCTTTCTTGCTAAAAGTTTTTTTTTATGAGGAACCGTTTTGTTTTCAAAAAGAACCTATTAGCAAGAAAATTATAGTTTCCTCATTATTAATTTGGTGGAAAAATGTGCAACACCCACCAAATTCATTGACGACAAATTGAAGGTTTCCTCACTAATTTTTTTTGTTTTACGAGGAACCCTTTCCTCGTTAAAAGAATCAATTAGCGAGGAAATAATAGTTTCCTCATTATTATTTTGGCGAAAAATATGCAAAACCCGCCAAATTTAATGGCGACAAATTTAAAGCTTCCTCGCTAAAAGATTTTGTTTTGCGAGAAATTATTTTCTTATTAAAAAAACCAATCAGCGAGGAAATAATAATATTCTCATTATTCATTGGCGAAAATTTTGGTGGGAATTTTGTGTGGAAATCCTGCATGCACATGTTGCCAAGTTGTTTAATCTTTTGTTGCTAGTATATCATGTTTTTGCATGCTTCAACAGTCTTGGATATGCCTCTTTGTTTAATCTTTTGTTGCTAGTATATCATGTTTTTGCATGCTTCAACAGTCTTGGATATGCCTCTGAGCCTCATAGTTCAAGCTAAGAGGTTATATCATGTTTTTGCATGCTTCAACAGTCTTGGATATGCCTCTGAGCCTCATAGTTCAAGCTAAGAGGTCCTTTTGCACCAAGCAACACTGCAATTGTATATTACAGTAAATATTAAAGGGGTGATATCTACATGTGTTTTTAAATTGGAAAAGATCTACAAAATTTTATCAGCATAAGCAACCTCCTATTGGTGGCAAAAGGAACTATACTTGTTATTGACTAACTATATTATTGGTATTATTCAAATAGTATGTTGTATTTTGAAATGATCATTATTAAGTATAGTTTGAGTTAAGATCCACTTTTTTTAGCAGCGTACATGATCAATTGTTACCATGGTTAACAACAAAAGATAATTATGGGCTGTGTAAGGGATGATGTTGTGATTCACTTTCATTTTTTTCTATGTTTCGATGTATTTTTTTTCTTAGCACTAATAGAAAATCAAACAAACTAGACAGAACAACGTAGACGGAATATAATTCCATCTAGTTTAAGGCAACCCATAAAGGAATTTTCCATCTAGATTGGCAACCTGGACGGAATGGGTCCGATATTTTGGTTTTGAGACCAGCGCCACAGTTTCCCCCTAAATTTTCATTTCACCGCTCTTTAAAAACCTAGAAACTATTCAGATCCCCAATTCCCATCCTCCTTCGCTCAGACTCACGCTCCTCCCTTCTCACCTCCTTCTCCGTGACTAGGCCCAGCTGCCGCTCGAGCCCGCTGTCCCCCTTGGCCTCCCTCCTCCGCTACTGGTCCCGCCAAGAGCCCGCATTCTTCGCCTCCCTCTCCCCCTCGACTCCACCACCTTCTCCTCCCTCAACCCCTCCAACCTTACCTTTTCAAGCAAAACCCTAACAGAACCACCATTTATACAAAAAACCCCTAAAATTGATTTCTCGCAGCTCGATTTCAAATCTCACGCTTCGCCTCGAAGAGAATGGCGGTGCCAGAATCGGTAGTGGATTCAATCAAAGAAACCCTAGATTGCGTCAGCGATCCCCAAACAAATCTCCTCAACTTCTTGTCGGCGACAGAGCCCGGAGTCCTCGACGAGCTGTCGCCGCTCCAGCGGGCAAGTGCTTTCCTCGTGCTCGCCTAGTCCGCTTCCTCTCTGTTGGCAGGTATAAAACCCTAATCCGAGCTCATTGATTCTTTTGCTTTCATAAAAAAAACTTTTTTTTCTTTTTCCTTTGAGCAGTGAGATTGAGGTGCAGTGGAATTCAACCAGATGATCATCCTATCAAGACTGAGATTGTAAGAATTTATCTTGATTTTTGTGGGTTTAGTTGTTTTCTGCTAAGAGATTGATAATTAAGCATGTGAGTTTAAATCGTAGGAGAGATTGAGCTTGTGTGAGGGGAAATTGGAGCAATTTGGTAATTTGAACAAAGGTATTCTACTTTCGTTGTTAATTTTGCTTATTTTATTGTGTTCTTTGCTCTTAGTGGTTGGTTTTATTTGTTATCCGATGTGTGGCAGATAGTTTTGAAATCTTTGCCTATTGTCTGAAACTATCATAATGTTTTTGAGCTTAAATGTGACATCAAATGCTGGGAAATGCTGGGAACTACTGATAATCAATTTTAAACTTGTTTAGTATATATTTAATGTTCATTATGAAGACATTGTTGACATGATGTTGTGCTTGCTGAACAACCGATAACTGACATGTTCTAAATATGAAGTATTTGAAATGGATTTGGAGGAATGCTTGCAAGCTTATAGGCAAAGGTTATGAAAGAGAACAAAGTACTAGCTATCAACCTTAAGTGAGTAAAGGCACAAGGGGGCTTGATTGTTAATCACCATGGGCTTATCCTAATCATTCTATTTTCTACAACTCCTTTGGATAGATTCGATCTCATAATATTAATTCGGGAATCTTTGTAGTTCTTCTATCAAAATATTTGATTGTTCTAGTTGAATTATTCTTCTGTTTTGGATTGTTTAAATATGAATCACAAAGTGACCATGGGAATGTTGTTACATGGTATCATTTTTCTATTTGGTGATTTTCCATGCTAATTCGATTGCTTGAAAATTTATTGCGACTGGAAATAACATAACTATGGGTTGCTGTTGGATCTTTTTTCCTTCTTCATACTAGACATTATTGGTATTGGTACAATATGGTTGTGAACAGATGATTAGCTTTTCTTCAATTGGAAGTTAAGGGCTTGAAGTTGGTATTAGAGTTTTTTGAATTGCATAGTTCATTATAGTAGAGAATAAGAGTTTTCTCTGGCAAATTTTGTTTTCTTTGCAGTCTGAAAACGTTCTATCCAAATCATTAAGGAGGTTGTAATTGATGGAGCTCTCAATAGAAACCCTCAGTGTATGATTCCATTTTTTCCTTATTAGCTTTTAAATTCTTGTATTTCTCGACTTGTACCATTATTGATTTCTTATTGGATTATTACCTTTGAACCTTAGGCTATAAAAATTGGGAAGTCCATGAATGCTCTGTACAAGCACAAATCAAAATCAATCCGGCAACTTGCCCAGACCCTCGTCAAGTGAGTTTCATAATGCCTCGCACAAAATAATTAGAAACTTTTAGACTTGCTATGAATAGAGGGTGTAATTTCTATTTTCTTAATTGGTGGTTTAAGTATTATTCAAATTACTTGGACTGTAATTTATTGTGTAGTTGAAAAAGATAGATGCTGGACTCATACATACTTGACATAGACCTACAAATTCCTTTCGTCTTCTTTTTGTATTTTGCGTTGTGGCTTCATTTCCTCTATCGGTTTTTACCAATAGTTTCCTAGTAAAATGCTCAACTTGAGTATAATCAAAAAAAATTTCCTCTATCAGTTTTTACCAATAGTTTCCTAGTATAAATAGTGGTTCTCATACGTATAATGTAATTATGAGAAACGTATGCTCAGTCGAACATCAAAGTGAACGAACTGACACGAGTCTTATGAACTAGTAATACAAGTCAACTTGAATTTGTAAAACAGGACGGGTATCATGAATAATTTGAGATCTTAGAATAAGATTTTTTTAACTCAAAGCAAATAAGCATATATTCATTCAGATAGGTTCATAGGTTGAACTTGAAAGTGTTTCTACTTAGTAACCTAGATCAATTTTTCTGCAGTACTTTATGTATTATATCATTCATAAAGTATTTAAGCTGACATTTATATGTTTCCTCCCATCCACCAGTAATTATAAGTGACAGATTTAATAGCAAAGAACAAAGAACATGTGTCTACTAAATAGGTATGTAAGTATCTATAGATGGAGTTTGTAAAAAATTTTGCTCGATATTAACAGGTCAAGCTTGAATATGAACTCATATCCTGTAACTATAAGTCACATTGAATTGATCTCAGGTTTATTTCACCTGTATCTTCTAAATATCAAAATTTATTCTTCTGACATATTTCAAACATTGATGAACTCTTATATTTTCACTGTATTGTCCAAGCTTTTTGGGTGCAAATTTGATTTTATTTATGGCAAGTTTGATTTTATTTTTGCCATAGGAATTCACTGAATTGAACCATTATGCATTTACTTTTGGTACTTGGAATTTCTACTTCGATATTAACTAAGATAAGCCATTTGAGATCATGTTTTAAACTAGACTAGAATGTTGATCTTAATTCTTGATCTCTTACTTCAATGCTTGGTTTTATAAAATTCCTAATGAGTTCTGTTATGCTGCTTCTTGATATAGATTTATTTAAGATTTCACTCAATAGGAATGGGACCTATTCCTTGGGTTCTGATGTCAGAGGTACTACCAGCACAAAATCCTCAAATTTCCCTCAAACTGTATTAATTTTTCTTTCCCAAGGCTAAAGTTCAAGACCTATTCCAGATCGAATACATCCATTCAGTTATTATAGGAAACCTTTCTAATGCTATTTCTCACTGAATGTAGATGAATCAATATTTATCATATATTTTTATCAAAAGAAAAGTATTTATGGAAGGATTTTCCATGCACAGGTAGCATTCGGCCTAATGATGCTTCAACAACTTGGCGGAGTAAATGCAATTGAATTCTATAAATTATGCAAAGTTCATCAATTTATGTAAACAATTGTATTTTTTATTATCTATGTAAACAATTTATATATCTCTCTAGTATTTTGGTGAATTTTTTTATTATCTATGTAAACAATTTATATATCTCTCTAGTATTTTGGTGAATGTATTATTTGAATATAATTATATTTGATATTGAAATATAATTAGATTGTGTTGTATATGAATATGATTTGGTGTTGTACAATATTATGTACATGCAATATTATATAGCGTGCAACGTAGATTCTGGAGAAAAAAAAATATTTTAGCATTGTTATAGACCATATAACCTATATCGACAAATGTAAATTTTCTCGTAATTGAATTTCTTTGGCGAGGAATATGGGGTACAACCTACAACGACAAATTTAAATTTCCTCATCTTTGAGTCCCTTTACCGAGGAATTGTTTCCACGAGAAAAAGATACATATAATGAAGAAAATCAATTTCCTCGTTAAAGATTTACCTTTGGTGAGGAATAGTTTCCTCATTGAAAGATACTTACAACGACGAAAATAGTTTTTTTAGAACTTTTATTATATAAATTAAATATTATTCACATATCATTGGCGAGGAAATTGTAGTTTAGCAATAAAAAAGGTATGAGATTAGGTGAGGAAAAATATTGAGGCTAAGGAGTAACAACGAGAAAAGAATATATTCATCGCAGAAAGGATTTCGCGAGAAATTATAATATTCATCGTAGAAACTTTTCTTGACCACCCTACCGCGAGGAAATGGTGACCAAAGTTTTTTCCTCGCCAACACACTACGGCGAGGAAATCTCGACTTTCAACGACAAACTTGTTCCTCGTGGATTAGCTTTTCTGTTGTAGTGCCTCCCACCAATCTTATACTTACCTGGCTAGTTTAATTGTTGCAAGTATAAATATAGAGCATCTTTAAACTATATCAAGTTTGATTACAGTAAACGATTTATGAAATCGTCTGTAGCCCTCCATCATTTCAGTTGAATACTACTAAGCTTATAAATACTTTGTTTGTTGGCTATCGTCAAGGCAATACTATTCTATGGCTAAGTAGTATTCATCTGTATATAAGATATAAGGATAGCTTAAGTTGGTTATGCAACTTTATTGACCTTCGTCAAGAGTATGCATAAGTTAAATTTAAGCCGGACAAGAAATAATGGGTCCAAACTTAACTAGCATTTTATGATTTGTTGGCCATCGTCAAGGTCATAAAAGACTAGGGGCGAAATCATATCAAGAATTACAAGAATGTAAAAGAAAAAAATTGTCTACCAATTATTGAGTAAATCGATTTGTTGGTCATCGTCAAGGTTGATACATTCAATGATAATTGGATTTTGATCCTACTTGAAAACAAGGGGTTGTTTTCCGATCACCTCTTATAAAGGTTTTGAGGGACTCGAAAAATAGTGGGAGGCATAACTTAGATAAAAATGAACCAAATCTATTTTATGTATTGAACATATTGAACATATTGAACATTTGCTAAAATATTTTTTTCTCTCTTTTAGGCCATTATGTCTGGCTTAAAACTCATACTAGAACAGAACAAGTTAATCGGTCCTAACTACAAAGACTGGTTGAGGAATGCTAAAATTACCCTAACTTATGACAAAGTAGCATATGTCCTCACAACGCTGGAACCCGTTCTAGGCCCAGAACCCATTGTAGCGGATAATAAAATCTGCATAAAGTGGGATAGAGATTGTTCACTTACTCAATGTATCACAATTGCCTCTATGGATTTGGTCCATCAGAGGCAACATGAGAATATGGATGTCAGATCCATATTTCGTAATACAGAAGAACTGTATGGCGAGCAACCGTGACAAATGAAGTACGCGGCGTCTAGGAATTTGTTCCAGACGTAAATGACAGTGGGATCTTCTGTTGGGGACCACGTCCTCAAAATAATCGCCTATGTCAATGAGCTTGAACTTTTGAACGCAGGCCTAGATGTAGATAGATATACAGATATCGTTCTGCAGTCCTTAACACCAGCCTACTCCTGATTCATATCACAGTTCTTGATGATGGATCTGGAGCCCACTCTTCCTGTCTTGCTTAATTTGTTAAGACAGGAGGAGTGTTCTATGAAAAAGGGACAAACACTAGCCTTGGTTATAGGGAAACCTTCTTCCACTTCTAGTAAACTGGTTGCCAAGAAAAAGGGAATGAAGAAAACTACTAAACCAAAGAAATGTGTTAAGAAGGCTGTCAAGAAGGACAAAGGGAAGGCAAAAATAACGACTGTAGAATGCTTCCATTGTCACAAGTCAGCACACTGGAAAAGAAACTGTCCTGAATTCCTAGCCTCACTCATCAAGAAGAAGCAAGTTGTTGCTTCATCTTCAGGTGCGTTGGTTACTCAGAATTGTTTTTCTATAAATCCTACATCTTGGGTATTAGATACCGGATCAGGATCTCACATCTATAATTTGTTACAGGGGCTGAGAAGTTATAGAAAGCTTGATGCTGGAGAGATGACCTTACAAGTTGGTAATGATGCAATAGTTGCAGCAGTTGTAGTTGGGGATTTTCATCTAGCTTTACCAAAATGGAAACATTTTGATTTTGAATAGCTGCTGTTTTGTACCAACTATGATGTGTAATATAATATCTATATCTTTATTTGATAAAGATGGATATATGTTCAAGTTGGAGAACAATGTTATGAATATCATATATAATCAAAAGTTGATTGCTTATGGAACATTGTGTAATGGTATCTATATTCTTAATCAAAATACAATTCTGAATACTCATCATGCTAATAAAAGAAAGCACTCAGTTATGAACGACGCTTTCTTATGATATTGTAGACTTGGTCATATTAATAAAGAAAGACTTGGCAAGCTACATAAACATGGATATTTAGATCCATTTGACTTTGAGTCTTATGATACTTGCAAGTCATGTCTCAAATGCAAAATGACCAAGACTCCATTTACGGGAACTGGAGCAAGAGTTACAGAACTCTTAGGACTGATACATAGTGATGTATGTGGTCATATGTCTACAATGGCTAGAGGTGGCTACTCCTACTTTATTACTTTTACTGATGATTTTTCAAGATTTGGACATGTGTTTTTGATGAAACACAAGTCTGAAGCATTTGAGAAATTTATCGAGTATAAAAATAAAGTAGAGAACCAAACGAGCAAGAAAGTTAAAATTCTTCGATCGGATCGAGGAGGTGAATACTTAAGCTTGGAATTCTTGGGTTTTTTAAAAGAGAATGGGATTCTCTCTCAGGTTACTCCACCCTTTACACCACTGCTTAACGGCTTGTCAGAAAGGAGGAATTATACCCTATTAGATATGGTACGTTCCATAATGAGTAACGTTGAGTTTCATTCTGGGGGTATGCGTTGGAAACAACAGCACACTTACTGAATAGGGTTCCAACTAAAGCAGTGCCTAAACCTCCATATGAGATATGGTATGGGATGAAACCACATCTTAATTATATTAAGATTTGGGGATGTCATGCTTATGTAAAAAAGCAAGATCCCAAAAAGTTAGAGGCACGTTCAGTATTGTGTAAACTTGTAGGATATCCAAGGAATTCCCATGGATATCAATTCTACCACATCGATGAACAAAAGATAATTGTTTCTCGGATGCTACCTTCTTGGAGAAGGAATTTCTTGAAAAAGAAATTAATAGGAGCATGGTAGAACTGGAAGAAATTTTAGAGATACAAATCAATACTGATAATTTAGTAGAAACAGAAAATTTAGTTGTACCAGAAGAACCTCAACCACTCCGCAGATATCCAAGGCAATCTCATGCACCTAAGAGACAATATGATTTTCTCATTGAAGGTGGCATGTTAGATCACGTCATAGATGATGATGAACCATTGAGTTATCAGCAAGTCTCTCAGAGTAGGGACTCTGTTGCTTGGCATGATGCAATGAAATCCAAAATAGACTCTATGTACACCAATAAAGCATGGATCTTAGACAATGCTCCTAAAGGAGTGATACCCAAAGGTTGCAGATGGTTGTTTAAGAAAAAAAATGGGTGTAGATGGGAAAGTAGAAACTTTTAAAGCTAGACTGGTAGCTAAAGGTTTTCGTCAAAGACCTGGTTTGGACTACGATGAAACTATTCAGATCCTACTTGCTATAGTTGCTCACTATGACTACGAGATCTGGCAAATGGATGTCAAAACTGCATTTCTAAATGGTGATTTAGAAGAGTGCATATATATGACGCAACCAGAGGGATTTGTAGTCAGTGGGAGCAGTGGAAAAGCATGTAGGTTGCTTAAATCCATTTATGGACTGAAGCAAGCATCACAGAGATAGAACATCTGTTTTGATGATGCTATCAAAGAGTTTGGTTTCATTAAAAATCCAGATGAACCATGTGTGTATAAAAGGATAATTTGGAGTATAGTATCGTTTCTTATTTTGTATGTAGACGATATACTCTTAATCGGTAATGACATACCGTCATTACAAGCGGTAAAAATTTAGCTATCAAAAAGAATTTTCATGAAAGATTTGGGTGAAGCATCCTGTATACTGGGTATTTAGATTTATAGAGATAGATCTAAAAGGATATTAGGATTATCTCAATCTAGATACATTGGCACAGTGCTAAAACGGTTTAGCATGGAAAATTCCAAGAAAGGTTACGTACCTGCATCTCCTAGAATCTCTCTCTCTAAAAAGATGTCTCCCCAGACTGATGAAGAGATGAAACGCATGAGTCTAATCCCTTATGCCTCGGCGGTAGGATCAATCATATATGCCATGTTATGTACTAGACTGGATATCGCTTATTCACTCAGTATGGTAAGTAGATACTAATCTAATCATGGAGAAGAGTACTAGAAAGCAGTCAAAAATATACTTAAGTACCTGAAAAGGACTAAAGAGTTATTTTTGATATATGGTAAAAGTGACCTCCAAATAGAGGCTTTTTCTGACTCAAGCTTTCAGAGCGA